CTTTGTTTGAAACTATTTTCATTGGTGGTTCAACAAAAGTAACCAGCAATATTATGTTTAAAATGTAAGTTAGCTAATATTAACTTATTGTTTATTGAACTGTTGTATAAAACTAATTTGACAAAATCAAGCTGCCTTCTTGTGACTCCAGTAACACCTCAGAAATGGTCAAAGCCGTTGCTGCCAGCTCTGATTAATGAGGCTTGAAGACATCCTGCATCAGTGGCTCAAGAAAGGAGTCTATGTGACAGTTCTTGGTTTGTCCTTGTTCATTTATATACAGGTACTTGTTCCTTTTGAAGTGGTGTAAAAAAGCAGAACCACACTCACATATACTGTATATGAGCACAGTATGTACCTGTGGCCTCTTGCTTACATCTGAATCAAAACTGCGGTTGTACAGCGATGACACTCTTTCTTGTGATATTGCTGTAAGGTTATGTATAAAAATTACAGTTCACCACAGAAAAAGGCCAATTGTCCATTTCCAAGCTGAAGTAAATGCTTAAAGGGGTCATCGGATGCCCATTTTCCACAAGTTGATATGATTCTTTAGGGTCTTAATGAAAAGTCTATAACATACATTGGTTAAAATTTCTCAATAGTAGTGTTAAACAACACCTTTTTTTCCTTGTCAAAAACAGCTCTGTTTTCAGCAACTCGTTTTATTGCATGTTCCTTTAAATGCTAATGAGCTCTGCTCACCCCTCTGTTCCGTGGGGTGACGAGCCGTTCTCATGAGACTGTTTACTTTAGCCACATTTAGCCGCATTTAGCCCCGAAACTTCTTAACTAGCATGTTATTAGGGAAGGCGATTTGCAAAGTTTTATAAAATAACTTAATACTCACTTCTTCTGTAGGTGAGGCTGGATCACGAATGATTTGCGCGAACATAAACGCAATTAGGTAGATCGGGAGCGCATTTGACGACTGCTATGTTCATTATTACATCCAAAAACAGAACATCTAAATCGCTTAGGAGCCATTCTTGTCTACATCTGCTCCGGCGGTGAAACAATAGAGGACTGATGACAGCTCACTCGGGGCGGGTCTAAGGTGTCAATCAACAATCGTGGGAGGGGCCTGGGTCTGTGTGACGTCACACAGACAAGCATTTGAGAATGGCTTGATATGAGAAAGGGAAAATGATTTAACAAGGTAAAAAAAAAACACTGGGTGGATCTTTATCATTATAGGGTGGATGTGTACACACACTGCTAACACATATTTCAGTTCAAACAACTTGTAAAAGTGCAGGTCGCATTCGATGACCCCTTTAAAAAATGAAATCATCCAAAATGCTTGTCATTTCAATCCTGTATAGTTTTATTTTCAATGGAGCTTGAAGTGCACTTACCATACAACTAAACACACATATATAACGAATATGACAGAGACTCACATTTAAGGCAGATGATTTCAATCTTGCTGCGTGTCATTGTGTGAGTGTGTGTCAGTGTATTCACATGATATATGGTTGCCTAGCAGCAAGAAGTATGTGTGATGATTTGGGAGATCTTATACATGGCTCAACTTTAAGCAGACAACATCGTTTTTTCAAGATGATCGGGAGCTCGTGAGGCGCTCGGCTCGCACTCCTCTCACCCGATATGAGCCTAATCACTAGTGACACAATTCCCCGCACCTTTATGTATAGTTTTTATTTTTACTCCACATTCGATATTTCTTTCAGTTTTTTCACACATTTTGTTTCATGTCTTGCGCTCTGTATTTTCTTTTGCCAGTTATGAAGAAGATCTTTGTTAAGATCAACATATGTATATTGTGACGAAAAAAACATTGCAAAACCATTAAATGTAATGTTTTCTGTAACATTTTTTAAAAGTTGCTGTTTTTTCTAGCTTTTTTGAGTGGAATGTCCAAAACTGGTCTTTTTTTGCAATAATCGCTTCGACACTAAGATTCAATGTGTGGCAATTATGTAAAGAATGTAATGTAATGAAATTGCAAATGACAACATTTGGAACACATGCGTGTGTCTGAAATGTGTGTTTTAAATATGGATGTCAGCAAAACATTTTTTTGTAACTTATTTCAAAAAGTGAAACTTTCAAATATTCTAGATTAATTTCATGTAAAGTAAAACATTTCAAAAGTTTTTTTTTGTTTGATGATTAGAGCTTACAGCTCATGAAAGTCAAAAATCCAGTATCTCAAAACATTAGAATATTTCCTAAGATCAGTCAAAAAATTGCAAAACAGAAAAGTTCAAGTTCTTTAAAGTATGTTCATTTATGCACTCAATACTTGGCCGGGGCTCCTTTAGCTCAAACTCCAGCATCAGTGAGGTGTGGCATGAAGCGATCTATTGAGGCTTCAGCTCGGATCCACTGTTTCTCATCTTTCTCTTGAAAATACCCCATAGATTCCATATGGGCTTCAGGTCAGGCATGTTGGCTGGCCAATCAAGCACAGAAATATCATGGTCAGCAAAGCACTTGGAAGTGGTTTTGGCACTGTGGGCAGGTGCTAAAGTCCTGCTGGAAAAATAAATCAGCATCTCCATAAAGCTTGTCAGCAGATGAAACCATTAAGTGCTCCAAAATCTCCTGGTAGACAGCTGCATTGACTTTGGACTTGATAAAACACAATGGAGCAACACCAGCAGACGTCACGGCACCCCAAATCATCACTGACCTCGGAAACTTCACACTGGACTTCAAGCAGCTTGGATTATGTGCCTCTCCAGAATTCCTCCAGACTCCAGACCTTGATTTCCAAATGAAATGCCAAATTTACTTTTATCTGAAAAGAGGACTTTGAAGCACTGAGCAACAGTCCAGTTCTTTTTCTCCGTAACCCAGGTGAGATGCTTCTGACGTTGTTTCTGTTTCAGAAGTGGCTTGGTAGCCCTCTTCCTGAAGACGTCTGAGCGTGGTGACTCTTGATGCACTGACTCCAGCTTCAGTCCACTCCTTGTGAAGCTCTTCCAAGTGTTTGAATCAGCTTTGCTTGACAGTGTTTCTGAAGCTTGTTTCATCCCTGTTGCTTGTGCACCTTTTCCTACCCAATTTCTTTTCTTCATTCCAGTCAACTTTGCATTTAATATGCTTTGATACAGCACTCTGTGAATAGCCAGCCATTTCAGTAATGACCTTCTGTGACTTACCCTTTTTGTGGAGGGTGTCACTGCTTGTCTTCTGGACCATTGTCAAGTCAGCAATCTTCCCCATTATCGTGGTTTCAAAGAACAAGAGATATCCAGAATTTATACTGTAGGGATGGTCATTTAATGAAACTCAAATGTAAATATTCTAATATTTTGAGATACTGGATTTTTGACTTTCATGAGCTGTAAGCTCTAATCATCAAAAGTAAAAAAATAAATGTTTTACTTTACATGTAATACATCTAGAATATATGAAAGTTTCACTTTTTGAAATGTTACAAAAAAAAGAACTTTTCACGATATTCTATTTATTTAGATGCACCTGTATACACACACATACACACACACACACACACACACACACACACATTATACATATTAAAATAGATGATGGCTGTAAAGCTCCAGCTTCAAAAACATCAAAGCTGGAAGTTGTTAATGTTTCCTGGGAAAATGTCCTTGTTATGCTTTAAAAATGTGTCCCATATTGAGTATAATATCCATTTGATTGTGGACATACCAGAGGCAGCTGCTAAGCTGTGATGTGTTTGCATGAAGGAGGGTGTGAAATACTTTATCCCTGCAACTAAACAGCAGAACTAGCACTAGCATTCAAAGAATTCACTGTAAAGAGCACAGGGAGAGTTTGAGTGATTGTGACAGAGAGGAGAACCTTGCTTTTGTCCAGCTCGCATGTCTCTGAGAACTCATAACGAATATCTGTCTGAACAGCTGAGATTGATTTCATGAGATCAAGTGCGCTTTGATTCTGACCAACTATGCACACTCTTTTTTGTTGCTGTTGCAAAAATACACTTCACACAACAGAAAACCCAGTTTAAAATTGCTGACATCCAGATTTAAACCATGCACTCCAAACACTCATGTCTTTGTATAAAACCCTCATCTTTCTATTCTATTTCAGGTAGTTCAAATACCAATGTACCGCTTACTGCACAGTGTACACTAAATACCAACTGCTGTTTTTTTTTTTAGTGTTCATGTGCTTAACACTTGTGATGCTTAATGCTGCAAAAATGCATTGTAAATTGTAACCTTTGATGCAAGAGGAGTAAATATAAAGATAATGCTGTAATCTGCACTTTTATAATTTATTGGGCAGCCCCAATTTCTTCCATATGTTTACATATGTCATGCTGTTATGTACAATAAACTACCAAAACCCAAATTCTTACTCAAGAGGATTTGAATGTGAGCTCCATGTTATCTATATCTGAATGCTGGAAATGCTGGGAAAGTGGATTCTAAGAGAGTTTTAATTACAGCTCTCACAAAGCAGGATCAGCTTTCATAATACAACTGTTGCTGCGCTATTTTGATGAAGGATGTGTTTGATGAAACAGACACTGCATTTGATTTCATGCAGCTTTAAAGTCTCTCGTTACTGGTATGATCCTTTTGTTTCAAAAGATCCACACGTTTGTTCTAATAAGACTTTCCCATGGTTCATTTCGGCAAAAACTGATTTAACTCAGAGTTCGGCTGTCAGTAGGATACTGAGCTGAAGTTTTCTCTGTAATCAGTAAGTTGCGAAATCAGTGTGAAACGAACTAGATTACACCCTTTTAAATCAATGAGTTGCTCTAAGCTGCGAGAAGTGCTGCAGGAAGCCAATTAAACACTGACCATTCAACATGCGTCCTTGTCCATTGATGCTCAGATATATCTGTGCATTCTGATTAAAGACTTTTATCACCGTAAACAAAAATGGCAGATTGCATAGTGTACACCTGGGGAGATGAATTTATTGGAAAGCTATGTGAAAACTTGCTGTTGGCGTTGAACCATCTGTAGAAGCGATCGTCTGTCTTGGTAACAGCTAACGTTGTGTGTGTGCTGTGTGCGCAGGTCTCTTCCCAGCTGTGCTGAACCTGGCCTCCATGGCAGAGATCAAGACCAATGCCACATGTGGAGAAACGGGACCAGAAATGTACTGCAAACTAGTGGAGCATGTACCAGGACAGCCCGTGAAAAACCCTCAGTGTCAGACCTGCAACCTGAAGAGTGATTATGCTAATGGTACAGGACACACACACACACACACACTGGCTCTCAGGCTGTGCATAATCCATTTGAGATGCCCTAATCAAAGACTGCTCATAAATCACTGCATTCCAAAATCACAGTAACACTGGCACAGTCACGCATGTAACGCACATGTACACTGGATTCCCCACTTCACAGACCTTATAGAGTAGAAAGTGTTGTTTTTTAATAGCAATATTTGATTCATTAACACAAATATACTAGAATCATCTGACTCTGGTCTGAGCAATTCATTCACAAACTAGACTGAATCGCTCTGGGGTGTGTTTCCCAAAAGCAACTACAGACATGTTTGCAGGTTCAGTTGTTACCAAAATACACTCTTAAAAATAAAGGTGCTTCACGATGCCATAGAAGAACCTTTTTGTCTAAATGGTTCCATAAAGAACCTTTAACATCTGAAGAACCTTTCTGTTTCACCAAAACCACAGCTAGAAACGGTTCATATTTATATTTTAAATGTAATCTTAAATTCATTTCTAATAAGTAGGCATGGTAACACCGGGAACCTTTTGTCCCCTATTATAATAGCTTTACCTTATTACTGTGCTTGTTTAATTGCTTTTTTAAAGACTGCTGAAAGGTGACATTTTTCAAAGAACTCTTATGTTCACTATACATTCGGTATTATATGTATAACAAACAATCACTGTGCTCATTACTGCCATCATTATCATCGCACATAAAATCCGGCATCCACACCATCACACATTATAAACATTGTATTAAACAAGCAAACATTTTCAGGGAGGCGTGAAGGAAGTTAACTATTATAAAGCCACTGTTATCGACCACTTGGCTCAAAACAATGAATACAAACTTCAAAGCTGCGTGTTTGCTGTGTTGCTGGAAAGTGGAGCAGATGGTATGTTTTTAATATTTCACATTTCTTATTATTTGTGATTCATTATGTGTGAAATACAGAAGCCCTAGAGCATGACATCACATCCTGTCGCTGATGTTTGTCTGTAGTAATTTGACATTCTGTCAGTTATTTGACATCCTGCGTGGCCGTCAAATCTTCGCTGTTTGAGAAACCTTCTAAATATGAGAACTGATAAGAACTGAACCTAATATGAGTCATTGCATTAGTATTTTAAAGCAGTATTCTGTATCAGAAAAGGCTGATTTTATGAGTGTCTGTAGTTATTATAATCTAGAGGAGTGGTAAATATTCTCACATATGGCATTTAGTCATAGTTCACACTGTAAAAAATGACCGTGAATTTAACGGTAAAAGACTGTAAAAATGCTACAGTAAAAACCTGTTAAATGGTTAACGGTAAATTCCCCTACTATATACGGTGAAAAACTGTATTGGACGTTACATGTATTGGACATAAATTTTACGGTAGTATACCATTTTTGGAAGTGAGGAAGATTGTATAATTTACAGTGAATAACCGTAAACTGACATTCCCAGAATTCCCTGCGTTACATTTCAAATTTGATGTTTTTTTGTTGAAATAACTATGTTTCTTCTTAGTTTTTTCTTATCAGTTTTGTATATTAGGGTTGTGTGTTACACCTAATGTTGTTAAATTAATGTTTATTGCATTATTTCAGTGTCATGTGTGTTACCGTGATGGTGTTTAGTGTTTGTGTGAATGACACACTGTGCAGCTTCTATATATGTTATTATTTAAAAGCTGCTTGTGATGGGCTTTGGTTCATCATGTGACTTTCTCATCACCTCCTGCATTTGGTGGTTATCGGTGTATTACAAAGCTACAAAACAGATTTCAGTACTTCAATAGGTTGGTATATTAACATTATATCAGTTAATGAAAATACGGTATTTAACTGTAAATTTAAGTTAAAACCGTAAAACCTAAAACGTTGCAGATTTTTTTTTACAGTGCACCCCAAAGTCAAAAGAAAGAAGGAAAAAACTAATGCAGAATTTGAATCATCGCAATGTGAAAAAGTAATGAATTGTATACATCATTGCGGTATTTGTTCTTAATGCAGATTTGATTAAAAACGTCATTGTGTCCAGAGGATGGTTTTCCTGCCTGTGTTACAGTAATGAGAATCTAATGAGAATCATCGTCATTAAGATGAATGAGAATTACAAACAAACTCAAGGGTACAACATTACAGTGCCATAATGTGAGTAAGTAATGACTGAATTGTCATTTTTGGGTCAACTACTTCTTTAATGGGCTGTAGATGTGCTGCATTGTCTTAGATTTGGTTTGAGGGTGAAACATGAGCCAGACCGGTTCTTTTAGGGGTTTTGATGTGTACAAGCTCTTAATAAAACATGCGTGGAGTGAGTCACTGGTGCTGTCATCCACACACCTCCGTCAGTAACGAGTTCTGCGCTTGCTTCAAACACACGCCGCTGCGCCCCAGAGTCACCCACACACTCCCAGCCAGAGAGTGATTAATATAAGATGTAATTAGAGAAAATTAGAGAAAGAGAGAGAGAGATGGTAAAACCTAAAACGTTGCAGATTTTTTTTTACAGTGCACCCCAAAGTCAAAAGAAAGAAGGAAAAAACTAATGCAGAATTTGAATCATCGCAATGTGAAAAAGTAATGAATTGTATACATCATTGCGGTATTTGTTCTTAATGCAGATTTGATTAAAAACGTCATTGTGTCCAGAGGATGGTTTTCCTGCCTGTGTTACAGTAATGAGAATCTAATGAGAATCATCGTCATTAAGATGAATGAGAATTACAAACAAACTCAAGGGTACAACATTACAGTGCCATAATGTGAGTAAGTAATGACTGAATTGTCATTTTTGGGTCAACTACTTCTTTAATGGGCTGTAGATGTGCTGCATTGTCTTAGATTTGGTTTGAGGGTGAAACATGAGCCAGACCGGTTCTTTTAGGGGTTTTGATGTGTACAAGCTCTTAATAAAACATGCGTGGAGTGAGTCACTGGTGCTGTCATCCACACACCTCCGTCAGTAACGAGTTCTGCGCTTGCTTCAAACACACGCCGCTGCGCCCCAGAGTCACCCACACACTCCCAGCCAGAGAGTGATTAATATAACATGCAATTAGAGGAAATTAGAGAAAGAGAGAGAGAGATGCGACTTAACCAGCGGGGGAGTTCTTTTAAATTAAACCTAGATCTCGCTCATAAATTAGAAAAGAATATATGCAGTCAAATAAATGATTAAGTGGACAACTTTAATCATCGTTGCCTGATTAAGAATCTGTCTGTAAAGAAAGATTGGGGTTTGTCTCATATAGCTGGCTTTCCACAGGCTCTGCGCCGAGATAAACGTCAGTATTTCAGCGCTTATAAAACTCATCCCTCATTAGAGCAGATCGCTTTATTTCAAAAGACACTTCAGCAGGTGATTGTATTCTGCCCACTGAGGTAAAAGCCAGCGGAGACACGTTATTAGTAGCGCCGTGTCCTGTCGTGGTTTAATATGAGGTGTTACGGAGCTCCTCTAAAGGCCTAGTGCCACGATGAATCAGATCTCACTCGATCTCTTCAGATAAAAGAGATACAGATCTTCCTCAGCAGTCCAAAAACACCACTCATTCCAACTAAATGAAATACAAATTCAAATATATGAGCTCTTGGGCAGGTTTTGGTTTTATTTCAGTCAGTTAATAGGACTGATTAAATCAGTTAAAGAATAACTTTGATATTGTTAGCATATTTCAAGATGAGCAGCATCGCTTTACTTGATTATCCAAGAAAGATATTATTAAATATGTAGCTATTTATTATTATTTACAGTAATATTTAATTATTAATTAAATATTAGACAAATCTGTGAATCTCAAATATGATCTTCAGGCTTTTGAGTGTTTTTTTGTTGTTGTTTTTTTGAGAAACATCATTGTATTCATTGCGTAATATGTTTTGATTATTTAAATATCATCTTACTGAGACATATTATTTGAGATATAGAGTGACGACTGATATGTATATCCATTTATGTCAGTATCTACTGTACTGTTATAAAGATCTCATAGATTTACATTACAAGCATCATAATTTCATCTTATACAGTAAATATCAGCATCTGCTGCAAACTGCATATCTTTGCTCAGTTTGAGTCTGAATAAAATTGAGCTGTTCATAAAAGCCTGATGGATCAAAAATGTGACCTTGGGCCACAAAACCAGTCTTAAGTGTCAATTTTTTTAAAATTGAGATTCATTCATCATCTGAAAGTTGAATAAATAAGCTTTCCATTGATGTATGGTTTGTTAGGATAGGACAATATTTGGCTGAGATACAACTATTTGAAAATCTGGAATCTGAGGGTGCAAAAAAATCTAAATATTGAGAAAATCATCTTTAAAGTTGTTCAGATGAAGTTCTTAGCAATGCATACTACTAATCAAACATTAAGTTTTGATATATTTATGGTAGGAAATGTACTAAATATCTTCATGGAACATGATCTTTACTTAATATCCTAATGATTTTTGGCATAAAAGAGAAATGTATAATTGTGACCCATACAATGTATTGTTGGCTATTGCTACAAATATCCCCCAGCGACTTAACACTGCTTTTGTGCTGCAGGGTCACATATAATACAAAAAAAATAAAGAGAACATATGCAAACCTATTTAAGATTTAATTAAAATAAGGTTTAGTAAACTTTTTGATTTCAAAAGATTAGATGTTCTTACTTTTATGTCGTATAATCACAATTTACAGGGTTAGAGCTCACAGTAAGGCAGGTTTTCACATCTCGATCACATCCACTTTTCTGACTGGTCTTCACTGCCCAATAAAGCCCCTGAGCAAAGAGTTGAATGTGCTGTGGTCTCTCACGAGTGTGTTTTTCGTGTGTGTAGAGCGGCATCCCATCGAGTATGCCATCGACGGCACTAACAGATGGTGGCAGAGCCCGAGCATCATGAACGGGATGGACTACCATTACGTCACTGTGACTCTGGACCTGCAGCAGGTAAACAACAAAACATCAAACAACGACTGCTCGCAGTAACAGCATCCTTATTCGCAGCCAATCAGAATCCAGCTTGTGTTTTTGTAAAGCTCTAGCCCTTTCTCACAGCCATTTAGGGTTAAAACACAAGCATCAACAATTTCCTTTTTTTTCACCCAACAGGAAAACAAATAATTTGCACGCTTCTACATTAAGAAAGACAATAACTAAATGATTCTAAGCACGCATACTTATTCTAAGTCCACTTTAAAGGGGTAGCACATACTTTTTGATATATACTCTTTTATTTTGAATGCTTATCAGGTATGACATTGTCCCCTGCTCTGTCATGAGAAGCTGCAGTCTTGAAATTCCTCTGCAGAAAAGCCGCTCTCTTCTCTCGCTCCGTCCCTCTGCTGCTCTTCTCCCACTCACGTGTGTGCAGGTTAGCGCTGGCTGAACAGTGAAAAGCAGTGGAGTTGAATGAGCGTGCAGTAGTGTGTGGGAAGAATGCTCCCATCAGCCCTTATTAGATGATGATCTGAGGCCAGTGCCAGACCGCAGGAAATTACACAAACACCTACAGACACACAATTAATGCAGTCAACAGATGACACAGGGGTGCAGGGTGGTCAGAATGAAAAGTGACGTGCAAATTAATAGATGAGAGGCAAAACGATAACAAAAATAGAAGCGATGGGAAGTACAGCGTACAGAGAACGATGAAATGAAGTTAACTGCTGAGAAAAGAAGACATGTGTTGCATGTTTCTGTGGGATTGATGTTAGAAAGGATCATAGATGCATCCTGCACACAAATGTACATACGTTATATAGCACAGTTTATAGTGTGCAAATTCAGATTTAACCCACAAAGCCCCACAGTTTGTTTTGTGTTGGCTTGGGCCCGCATGGGATCTGCACAGGTTTTTCTGTCTTATGTTTTAAGACTACTCCTAAATAGATTTGGTAAAATGTTTTGAAAGCTGAAAGCATTATCAAATTAGTTTAGTTTGTGGTCAGTAAGATTTTTTTTTTTAAAGAAATTTTCACTTTTATTGAGCAAGAATGCAATAAGTTGATCAAAAGTGACAGTCAAAACATTTTTAGTGTTGTATAATTATTCCATTTCAAATAAATGCTGTTCTTTTGAATTTTTTATTTATCAAAGAATACTGAAAAATAAAATGCATCACGGTTTCCACAAAAATATCGGCAGCACAACTGTTTCCAACACTGATAATAATCAGAGATGTTTCTCGAGCAGCAGATCAGCATATTATACTGATTTCTGAAGATCATGTGACACTGAAGACTGGAGGAATGATGCTGAAAATTCAGCTTTGATCACAGAAATAAATTACATTTTAACATAGATTCATATAGAAAACAGCTGTTTTAAATTGTAATACTTTATTATTTTACTTTTCTCTGTATTTTTGATCAAATAAATGCAGCCTTGGTGAACAGAAGAGACTTAAAAAAAAACATTATGAAGTCATAATTATTCCAAACTTTTGAATGGTAAGTGTCGTTAACAAAGAAATGTGCAAGGAGCCGGTGGTTTGCAGAACTTTGTGATTGATGAGGCTTGACAGCCCCCATTCTCAGTCATTTCATAAATGAAAATGTGTGGCCGTAATATTCACCTAAAAAATGGTCAAGAAGGAAAGTCATACACCATTTTGAATGGCATGAGGGTGATAAATAATGACAAAATATTAATTTGTAGGTGAACTATCCCTTTAATTCCTCCATTGTTCCTCTGTGCCTTACCTGAACTGAAGAATATGACAATGAGTGCAGCACGGTGCGTTAACGGAGGAGACAGAGAGAGCAAGAGAGAGGGGTGGATGCAAGATAGAAGACAAATGAGTGTGACAGGGTTTGAGTATTCATTAGAGGGGCTGTAGAGGACATTTAGAGTTAATAAATCAGACGAGAGGGTGTGTAATTACTGACGGCAATCACACATAGAGCAGCGAGCCATGACTGCCATCTTACCATCACTCACTCCCTGCCAACCTGTCGCCGCAATGACAAACGTGCGCTAAAACATTACAGGCACGCTGAGCGCTAGGATGCTGAAAATTCAGCTTTGATCACAGAAATAAATTACATTTTAACATAGATTCATATAGAAAACAGCTGTTTTAAATTGTAATACTTTATTATTTTACTTTTCTCTGTATTTTTGATCAAATAAATGCAGCCTTGGTGAACAGAAGAGACTTAAAAAAAAACATTATGAAGTCATAATTATTCCAAACTTTTGAATGGTAAGTGTCGTTAACAAAGAAATGTGCAAGGAGCCGGTGGTTTGCAGAACTTTGTGATTGATGAGGCTTGACAGCCCCCATTCTCAGTCATTTCATAAATGAAAATGTGTGGCCGTAATATTCACCTAAAAAATGGTCAAGAAGGAAAGTCATACACCATTTTGAATGGCATGAGGGTGATAAATAATGACAAAATATTAATTTGTAGGTGAACTATCCCTTTAATTCCTCCATTGTTCCTCTGTGCCTTACCTGAACTGAAGAATATGACAATGAGTGCAGCACGGTGCGTTAACGGAGGAGACAGAGAGAGCAAGAGAGAGGGGTGGATGCAAGATAGAAGACAAATGAGTGTGACAGGGTTTGAGTATTCATTAGAGGGGCTGTAGAGGACATTTAGAGTTAATAAATCAGACGAGAGGGTGTGTAATTACTGACGGCAATCACATATAGAGCAGCGAGCCATGACTGCCATCTTACCATCACTCACTCCCTGCCAACCTGTCGCCGCAATGACAAACGTGCGCTAAAACATTACAGGCACGCTGAGCGCTAAAGCAAAACCCGTCTCAACTGTGGAAATTGATTCAATTGAATTAAGCGGTTATTTATAAACAGCAGGCTGATATGCACACACTGTTCACAATGCTTCATGTGTAATATGTTTTAGATGGCTAACAGGCCTCCTTCAGTGACTGCGGCTGGGTGTTGAAGATGTTTAGCGTTAGTATTAAAGGAAGAGTTCACCCAAAAATGTTGAATGATTCTCTGAAAATGTTCTGATTCTCAGGCCATTCGAGATGTAGATGAGTTTGTTTCTTCATCAGGTTTGTAGAGATGTAGCATTGCATCAGTGTCTCAGCAATGGATGCTCTGCAGTGAATGGGTGCCGTCAGAATGAGAGTCCAAACAGCTGATAAAAACTTCACAATAATCCACAAGTAATCCACACCACTCCAGTCCATCAGCAGATGGACTTTTTCACTAGAGGAAGTGTTATTATGGACTATGCACTCAAAATTTAGCCAGAAGCAATGGTTTGAAGATGAAAACGTCTTAATGGTGGATTTGTTTCAGCTTTTGTCTTCACAAGATGTTAACTGATGGACGGGAGTGGTGTGGATTACTTGTGGACTATTGTGATGCTTTATCAGCTGTTCACTGCAGAGAATCCATTGCTGAGCAAGTGATGCAATGCTACATATCTCCAAATCTGATGAAGAAACAAACTCATCTACCTTGGATAACCTGAGGGTCAGTAAGTCTTCAGCAAATTTTCATTTTTGGGTGAATTACTCTTTTGAGTTAAGATACAGATGCTTGAAATTAGGTGTCCGTTGGTGTTAAGACGATCAAATACTTCAGTTGTCCATTTGCTGCTATGTTTCGCACACAGTGCACATGCATTTCATTAGAAGCAGAGTCTGCATGACAGTGCATGTGCAAGTTATTCACGTTTTCTAGTCTTGCAACATATGTGCATTTTATTTTTCAGGTTCCAGCAGTCTAATGATTGTGCATGTGATTCATTGTAGGAAACTGTGTGTGTGTGTGTGTGTGTGTGTGATGTTCCAGTCTGTGCAGATGTTCACCTGACCTCAGTACTATTTTGAAATGTGACTAATCATACTAAAGCCTTCCACAAACACACGTGCAAACACATACACGCAATTACTTTATACCATTTTATGCGCACATTTTACAGAAAATCACACTGTTCATTGAAAACTCCAGTTCATCTGTATGTGATGTGCGTGTCTGCGTGAGGCATTGCAAATCAAAAAAAATTTTTTAAAACTGCCAGTAAATAAAATAATATATGTTTAAAAAATGCTGTTTGCAGAAGTATTTGCCTGTGAATCTTTAAAAAATGTCCTGGATTAAATTCCCACAGTTAAAGGAACAAATGGTGAAAATTAAATCCCCAAGTTAAACAAAAGCTGAAATGGAAAAAGAATACAAAACAATATCCAGATGTTTGGATGTCTCATTTGGTTCAGTTAGCAGGAAGTGGAAATCAAACCACCTACACTGCTTAGAAATCACATTCACCCAGATTTCTCTACAATAAGGCTTGAGAGAAAAGCCACAGAGAAGCCAACGATCACTATAGAGTAAATATAGAGTTTAGCAGCTGACAGTGAAGGTGGCCAATAGAACTCTGCATAAAACATGTCATTACTCAAAAACAGCTATATAAAAGCAGAAGGCATGGCAGTGGCCATTCCAGTGTGGTTAGATACACATTGATGTACAAATGCCCCCCAAAAAGCTGACATGCCAAGCGATATGCTACTCAAAATTTAAAGCAGTTAAACTACTGTCAAAGGTATTCAGGTAATAAACATCAGTTATCTTGCATAACATTTTAGTGTGCTACTCTGTTTTCAGGTTACCAGCCAAGATGTCTAAAATGGAATACATAAACGTGTGACTTTTAGATCTAAATAATATAGATTCTGTTTTACCTAAATGCAATAAGAGTTTATTTTCAGAGAGCCAGTCTCTTGCTTAGTACCTCACCTAATATCACTTGTGTTCTATCAACATCCTTGTCTGAAACCTGTAAAGCAGAATTACCAGCATATAAAACAAGTTATAGTCACAAACAGCTTGCATGTAATTTATGTATGATAAGAACAAAAGGGGGCCTAAGACATTTCCCTGAGGAACTCCATTATTAATAATTGTTTCCTCAGAAAGAATATCATCAATTGTTACCCTAATTTGAACTATCCAATTT